TTTTTTTTTTTTTCAAAAATAGAAACTTTTATAAATCGAACAAATATGTATAACTAGCGGCAGCCATATAGTTGACAACACCATCTATATAACCGAGTTTAGTGGGAGGACAGACTTTAAAGTCGTCTAGAATCGACATTAGAACTAGTAAAAAACTGGCATAGAACAGTTCTCATACGGGAGAATACCAACCCAAACAAAAATACAACTAAAAACACACAAAAAAAAATAATAAAAGAAAATAATAAAACACAAACGCTACTACTAGAATAACACTCTCCCCACCAGCATAACAACACCTCGAAGAGCACTCTGGACTCTGGACTGCTCCAAGAGACCAGAATTAAAGCCCTCCCCACCATATCAACTGGTTGCCGGAGCCCCAAGATCACCACCCCCGTAAGGAATGAATCGGGAGCACGAAAAATTTTAGCATAATTTTCATATCTTTGTAGGTTTTTATTTATAATTTTTATTATTATTTTATAATTATATTCAATATCTTAAACTTATAGTTTGAAATATTTTGAGCTATGAACCGATAAATTTAATCAAATCGATAGAAATTATCTTTCAAGCCCGAATTGATAGTCGATTGATTTTTCAAGACTCTAACCGATAAAATGCCATTTTCTATAATTCTTCTTATCTAACAACAGATGTTATAACGTTTATGATTTTCATTCTTGAGTTAATTATTTGCATAGTGACTGGAAAGTCATTTTAAACCCGTTTATTTGATGCATTAAATTGTTGTAAACAATCACTTTTGTATTGTTAATATTAATAAAAATAGTTCAAACATATATCATATATTAAGCAGTGCATAATTAAAAAAATAATAATTAAATAATTTCTTTATTAATAAAATAAAATAAAAAGATTATGAAAAAAAGTCTTTTACTAATTGACACATAAAATGAAGGAATATTTTTTTTTTAGGTTTTGAAAATGAAATAAAGATTATGGAAGGAAATTAGTCTTTTTTTTTCAATAAAATAACAAAAGTAATAAAAGTATTGTTGAAAAGGCAGATACGGAATTGTTTTCGTAAGTAATTCAAGTTTATTTATTTCGTCACTATTTACCAATGAAATAAAAAAAAAAATATTTTTCCGTCGCAATATTTTGTTAGTTTTTTGTTGGTAATCCGTATAAAAAGGTTAAATATATAATGCATTATTAGCTCGTTGGTGATCTGTTGGTAATTCCCAATGGAAATATTTTCGTTGTAATTTCTGTTGGCATTTTGACAATTTCTTGTAGTATTTTTGGCCTATTATATATAAATATATTTAGTGTTAATTTGTTTGAAAAATTACTACTTTAAATAAGTAATTAATGATTCTTAAATTTTTCTTTTGTTATTTTGATAAATACTAATTTCTTTTATATATATATATATAGAAGTGGGAAGGATGATATTTGCAGCCTCATCCCTTATTTTATGGTAGATTTGTGATAGATAGAGGAGGTACACCCGAAATTGGCCCGTACTTGATAAAATTTTGTGCCCCATGTGTTTGGGAATAAAAAGTAGGCATCCGACCATAATAAATCTATAACAAATGTACAAATTATTTTGTCTTAGTTCCTAATCGCTAGTTGATTTATAATGTGTAATTTATAAATGTTGGTCCTCTGTGTGTCCACCATATTTTGGTGCCAAACTGCCATTTCGTCATTCCTCTCTTCTTTTCCTCCAGTTACTTTTGTGTTGGAAAAATCAGTTATAAAACTTGGTTTGATTTGTTTTTGACTGAATTTTTATGGCTAAGTTGAATTAAATTTTGTAAATAAATTGTATGTTCCGAGTAGATACTCGTGGTATATTTATTTTTTCAAAATTGATATTCAGTTAATGAAAAATAAATGATTAAAATTGATCATAAATAGACACGCAAAACGATAGTTTTGGGATTCAAATGGTCAAAGTCATACCCAGACTTTTAAATTAAATTAACTCTTTTTATTATAATAAAGAGAGTTTGAGAGGTCACAACAACGACAAAGTTATGCACCAAATGTTGGTGTTGGCTTTGACCAAGTGTGCGCGCGCCCGTCTGCCGGTTCGACTCGACTCAGGCACGGGCCGAGGCATGGGCCTGGGACTTGGCAATTGGAAATTAGACCGTGGGATGGACTTGGGCGGCCTTGGACGGTCTGGGCTGGTATTGGGCTTGGGCCTTGGGCCCAGCCAACATATATCTTTTTGTTGTAATTTTACTTGCAATTTTGTGGCCCAAATGAAAATTTAAAATCAAGTTTGGATTTGGACTCAAGTTTGTGACCCAACTCAAGTGAGACATCTCTAGGTTCACTGAACCTGAACATGTGACTTTCCAACTGACCGTTTCAGTGATTATCAGATGGTTTGATAGTGTGTCAACACCTGAAAACGGAAGGCTTTCCACCTGACCATTTTATGTTTAATTACACGGGCCATTAGTTGGTTGTTTCATGCTTTAAGTGGTTGAAAACCAGAGGTCATCCCTTGCTTGCTGGGAGTCCTATATACAGGACATGTCTAGAGTTGCAGAAGGTTACAAGATCATATCATCTGTATTCTTGCACTCTCATAGCGTCACGCATATACATACTGCTCAATTTCTCGACTCCGTTAAAGTTAGCCGGAGCTTGAAAGTTGGTGTGTTACAGCCTTCGAGACGTCAGCCGTTATATCTTTTGGACAAGATGCACAAATCTGTTAGCACTACGCGGGGCGTATTTGTCTTGCGGAGTGATTTCAATCGCCTTGGCTTTAATCAGTCCGCATTAGAATTACAGTTTTATTTTCTGCTTTATAGTTCTATTATAAGAGCTGAAAACTCAACTTCAGTTCATAAGCTTTGCTGTTGTATTCTACAATAATTTTGGTACACTTTGTTCACCTAAAGTATAAAGGTTAATATGTTGTTTTGTTAGACAAATAAAGTCGTATGAAATGAAATATAAAATGAAATATGAAATGTGTTACGTTTAACACTACCATGTAATGATGTAAGTAAATATAACTTTTGTTGGATGAAATAAAATATGAAATAAAATGTAAAATTGAAACATGAAATCTCATTTGAGCCAATATTAGGCACGATTATGCTCTTCTTAATGTTTCTGTCCATCAAATCAAAAAGCCACCCGCCACTTTGTTATTCTCACTAACGTATATGACGAAAATGCAAACTTAATGATTTTAAATATCTGACCACTAATAGCTAATCTGTTATTGATTATTTCAATAATTATAGGTATTCGAAATATAATTTCCTTAAAATCTTATGATAAAGTCAATGTAAAATTTTACATCATAAAGTTTCAACGTCTTTAATTATATCCGTTTACAAGTGATGGTGATTGTGGAAAGTTGTTGGTGAGGGGTGTGAACTGCAAACAAAATTTTAGGTAGACAAAAATGAAAATACAAGAAGATTGTGAGCCACCTAACCGACCTATTTGACTAATATATTGTCATAATGCAAAAGAAAATTAAGAAATATATTTATCTAGTAAGCCAATTAAGTGAAAACACACGGATCATACGAAAAACAATCTCCACTAATTTTCAAACACTACTTATATCCTTGTTTGACAACAATCATTACCCTTTAATTACCGTTGTTGAAAATTTCACCCACATACATTTTTCATCTTTTTGGGCGTTTTCAAACTCACAAGTATAGCATAATCTTACTTAAAATAAAATTATTAATTATTACCTCATGTAGTCAATTACAAATTTTTATTTAAGTTGTTTTTTAGAAGTATGATTATTTAACAACTAATCAATCCAACGGCATTACATGTAGTCAATGGGTTGTTAAACCAATCAAACTTTTAAAAAAGTCTAGTGAGAAAGGAGATTTGAAAATTGTTGGTTTTGATCATATATTTTTTGTAAATAATATTGTACCTACTTTGACGCCTAGAAATGATTTATTTAAGTAAAATAATAAAAGGGCCTCATACACTATTATGTACAACGAATGTACGTACCTGCACCATTGTACCTTATATTAATCATAAACAACTAATATGCTTTACAAAAGGAAAAATATACTCGACAAACCTACCGCATATGGAAGGCTCATTGTGGACCAACCAACAATTCCCATATGATGGCATTGTTTTAAATAGCTCACTGTGTGACTTGTTATAGCTCGCTATATTGTATTTTTTTCAAAAGAAAAACGCGACGTAGCTATAATATTTAGCGTTTTTCCTTAAAAGTTTATGCGAATATTGTTGAAATGACACATTTTTTTACGTTATTTCACGCTATTTTGCGCTATATTTCTACAACAACATTTAAACAATAAAATATTAAAAACATGTATTTTTTAGGAAGTAGAGTCATATTTTCAAATGACAACTAAAAAGTAAAAACTAAAAAATTTGATACTGATTTTAAATTTTTAAAAATGCAAAGTCCTAAAAGTTGAATATATAGTGTAATATTTATCGTTTTGGTTCTATTATATCATTTTATTTTTTGGTATTTGATATTTAAATTAAACAATAAAAAGTTCAGATCTAGTGGTTAGAATTAAGTTGTTGCTAAATTAAAAAATTAATTAAAACATACATACTTGAAATTAAACTATAATTTGTCTTGTTATATTTTAGTTGTTTGCTTTTATTTTTCAGCATATTCGCTTTATTATTCAAATATAAAATATTTAAATATTCATGTTAAGATATTTACATTAACATTTGAGAAAAATAATTCTTAAATGTTATTTTTGAATTCATTCAAATACTATGATAATTTTTGAAATCAACTATTCCGTGTTATCATATGCAAATGT